TTTCTGCTTGATGGACATGACATAGCCCAGTGTTCTCACTTGTTCAACGATGCCTGTTGTGCTCCCAGATTCCTACTTACATGAACGGGCAGCAATCGATGAATATGTCTTTCGTGCATTGGTCTCAGCCATTTTGCTATATCAAGCATGAATGGTTGTGGCTTTCAACTTGTAGTGGTGCACATTGAGGCCGCCCCCAATGCCGAATCAACAGGCTGCCTTGTGACTTGGCAGAGATATCTAGAAAGCACCAGACGCAAAAAACATTCTTGGTTTGAGGACTCTTTTGCAAACCCACTTCATTTTTTAAAAGAGTTAAAACACTTGGCTGCAAAGATGCTTTGCCGAGACACATTCTTGCAACCCTGGCCTTTGCTTCTGAATCTTTACGCCCTTGACTTCTAGGCCTCAAGTGCCAATGCCAGGCAACGATCACACAAATCCGTAGTAGTGGTAATTGCTTGCATGTTGCCCCATGCAAAAGGAGCCTCGCCTGACTTCAAGATGGGCGACAGAGTGCAAGTCCTCAGTCAACATACCGCATTGGTCTGTTGTTTGACAATGACTGTGCAGCAGGGTTCGTCTTTGCAGGCAGAGATTCTGCTTGCGTTGCATTCGACAGACGCAGAAAAGTGTTGGGTACGGAGTACTGTAAGTGTCCAGGTGCAGTTGAAGGGCCATGCAGCAAATCCAAACTATGAAGGAAAGCTCTACACAGTCGAGGCATTTGAAGGATTCCACTCTCAATCTCAACGTATTGACAACCTTTTATAGACACACATGAAAGATCATGAAAGCTTGAGTGCAGCGGAGGCTGTGGACATGAGCGGGACCGTGATGGTCAAAGCCTTGGCAATATAAGAGGCCAAACCTTTCCATGCCTGATACAAGATGTGACGATGTGTGGCAGGTTTCTCACAAGCTTGGGGACCGAAATGTTTCGAGGCTGCTGAGCTGTTCTGTTCTCAGACTGGACGTTGGAAAGTTGATTGTCAGGATGACGTTCCACAAAGCCTGGTTGGAGCTGGTGACACCTGCAGAGGACATCCCGCCAGAGCCAGCACCAGAGGCAGACGCACTTCATTTTTGCTTCTGCTAGTTGTTACTTGTGCAAAGCCTCTAAAGGTCCTTTTTTGAAGAGGTCCTCTTCTGTTTCTCCTCTCTTTTTCGTTGAGGTGATGGAAGCTCCAAAGCCTCAGGCAAAGAATGTTCCAACTTTTTTGAGGAACTGATTATTTCTATATAAGCTTCAGTATCTTCCAGCTTTCCCGAAAGTGAAAGGTTGACCCAATAGAGAGCCTGCATGTTGGAGACACCGTCCAGACCTCAGGTCTGATTCTCATGCCTGTGCAAAACGTCAGGCTGTTCAAAGAATCTAATTTGAATCCAAAGGAAACAAATCAATCATGCAAACAGTTCTCCACAGAAGCTTCCCCTTGGCCGTAGGGGGGACCAGTACGCCTGAGCTTTTCTGTGTTCTGCATCTAGTAGTGGCGCTACTCACTAGTAGATACCACAAAAGCCTACATACGACCCGCCTTCACGGCTTACCCCCCCGAAAGATAAGAAGACAAACAGAAAGACCAAAGTTATCCCGGCAACCACATGAAAGAGCACAGAGGTGACATGTGAAAGCATTCTTTTGCAGTGCTGTGCCTGCCACGAAATCTGCGCTTCGAGCTGTGCCTGGCAAGAAATCTGCGCATCATGATTCACATCGCGCAACCCCTGCCAGTGCACTTCGCAACAGAAGCGCATCCAAAGCAACTTCGAGATGCCAACTTGCACCAAAGTTTTTGCGCGACACATCCACAAAATTTCCCAAACGAGCCACATGCATGTCCAAAGTTCATGGTTCACTGCACTTGCCATGAAATCAGAGCGTGCCAAAGACCACGGCTGAGTCCAAAGTGCTGCGCCTGCCACATCGAAGTACAACTGCTCTGATCTCCTCTGCAGGCAAAGAAAGGTCGACTTCCACCTGCCACAAAAGTGACAACAAAATGTGCAGGGCACCACAGCGAGAGCGCAGCCGAGGAAAGCATCTGCTTGAGCCCACCAGTTTGTGCAAGCCTGCAATGCGCTTTGAAGATGTGGAGAGGAACTGTTTTGCTGTATTGGTAATAAAATTTGCCGCAGACGCCGGTGAGCGCCCTCGATCAAGACCAGAACTAAACACCTACAGCAAGAACCCTGTGATCACTGGTTGGGGAATAAGTAGCGGACAGCGCGTTTCTTTCAAGGTGTGCAAATTTTCACTTGCAAATTATTCCCCAGATAGCTGAAAGGGCTCTCACTTCTCAGTGACTGGGTGGCTGATCGGCGTTTTGGTCCACCGCTGCCGCTGCTGCCTTGTTTCCCCACTTGCCTCCCAACTTGTTTGCCTGCGTGCTCGACGTTTGGTTTGCCGCTGCATGCCGCTGCTGCCTTGTCTCCTTAAACTACCTGTCTCCCCAACAAGGGTCCTAGACTGTTCTGCTTGCAAAAACTCGTGGAAAGGTCCCAACCTGAAATGTCTCCCCGCTTGTCTGGGGTCTTTGCCGTTGAAATTTGTTTCGTTACGGGAAGGCCGTTTCACTCCGCCTGGTCATGTGGTGATTCATGAAAACTCGCCGAATCGCACGGCTCTTAGAGCCGGCGATGTGTCATTCAAGTTTCTGACCTATCAGCTTCCGACGGTAGGGTATTGGCCTACCGTGGCAATGACGGGTAACGGAGAATTAGGGTTTGATTCCGGAGAGGGAACCTGAGAAACGGCTACCGCTGTCCAGAGAGGGCCGCAGAGGGGCAATTTGGAAACTGTTGCGTTGGATTGCGTCGCAGACACTTGGACCACATGCTCAGGAAGGAGCAAAAGGTCATCAAACTGAGTGGTTCGACCATAAGAATGAATCCCCCACTCAGTGTATCCTCAGACGGCTTGAACATGGTGCTCAGCAAGCCGCTGAAGGGCATTATTGCCAGCAAAAAGGAATGTCAGCATAGGCCTCAGATAGAATTGGAATCATTGCATTCAAGCTGTCGCGGCTTCTTCACTCGCGTTTCATAACAAGCGCACTGCAGTCACCCCAGCGCCAAACCTCCCTAGCGCACAGCACCCTGCAGCGGCACCAGCGCCCAAGCACACACGGCAGCCGCACGTTGCAGCGGCGCCAGCGCCCAAGTTTCCAAGCAGCGGTGCCCACCAGCGCCGCGAGGGCAAATGCTGTGCGTGATGCGCTGACAGGGCTATCCAGCTATCCTTTCTCATCGGGGAGGCCCCAAGGGTGTATTTTTTCATCGCCAAGTTGAGGATCTGAGTGCCCAAGCCCACCCTGGTCAGCGTAGTTGGGGTGAAATCAATCACGCAAGAAGGCGAGGTTGAACTGAGCAGCCCCATCCCAGGAAGTGGGTTTATTGCAAAGCCAATTCACACCAGAAGTGAGAAGTCATGTGTAGTCACCTCACATCACCAAGGCAAATGCGAAAGGGAGGGGCGATATGGAAAACATCAAGCAACATCAAACCCAAAACTGCGGAGGATTTTGCCAGCTGTGTGACAAAGCAAGCAAGTATCCTAACAGCAAAACGTTCATCATAAATCATAAATGAAGAGGCACTGTATCACAAGACGTTCCTGGATATTTGAAGGAACTGAGAATCAAGGAGGCCGAGGCGTGTGGAGAGTGCAAACAATGGCTGGCAGCTGGCAGCGCCGGAAGCAGACTCCAAACGAATGCAAGAATGCCGCCATCTGCAAAAAGAGAAAAAATTACACCACCGTAGGCCCCAAACAGTTTGTGTTTTTTCCCCAAACAGGTTTACCTGTGAGGGGTTCTTACTCCTTTTAAAGGGGTGCGTGCTCGGGCCGGATGATTTTGAGTTTGTCTCCGGGCTTGTGTTCCTGGCCGCATGATTTCACC